GGGGGGTCGAGCGCCGTTCCGAGAAATCCGCGCGGACCTCAGAGTTTTTATGTTCATGCCACTTTTTGTTCCCCTATCACCACCCCTGGCGCGGTAATAACGTGCGGCGTCCGGGGAGGACTGCTCGCACACCCACCTCCCCACATCACACTCGAAGCGTCTGGCAACACAGCAAGATCCCTGCGCACCTGTCGCGGTGCTTGAGACCAGGCCTAACCTCGGAACCAGATGCTTGCGGTCGATCGTGGTCCTCGGGGTCTTTGCGTATACCCCTTCGTGTTTCCCCGTGCCCAGAAACATGGGAGAGAAGAGAGGGGAAGGGACCAATTAGTTGCGCGCGCTATACTTGACATCCTATCCCTCCCACCCACCCCGTCCAGTGTGCCGACTTTTTTTCTGTCCGCCAACGGGTGTCCTAGCGCTCCTGGATCCCACAAGCTACCCCTATCCTGCGATGCGTCCGGAGCCCGCTGGCTCAAGCAGGCAGGCGCAAGCCTTTTTGCCCTTCGGCTAAGAGTGCATCCGCCTCATCGCGCCCCCCCCCTGGAGCATCAATGGCAAGCCTCTTCGCGAGCTGCGTCGGTCTGTGCCTCCTCGGCTGCGCTTCAGGCCAGGGCCTCTTCTCAGACTGCCCCTCGGCCATGAACACCGGCTCGGTCGGCAGCTGCATGCTATTCGGGTGCTCGGCGAGCCGCGGGCCGACCCACTGCAAGCTCGGCAGCTGCTACTGCGACGAAGGCTACTGCAGGTACCCAGCCAGCACCATGCACGTCAAGTCGCGGTACTGCGTCGCCCGCGTGCCGGAGGCCACGTGCCATCTGACCCGCTTCTGCTACAGCGCGGGCCTCACGACGTCGTTCTGCGAGAAGGGCCTGTGCATGTGCAAGTGGGGCTACAGGCCCGAGGCCGACGAGGACGGCAAGCAGCAGTGCGTCCCGGCCTCGGCCGCCCTCGCCGAGGCCGCCGCCCGCAACGCCACCGCGGAGGAGCTGGAGCTGCTGCTGGAGCACCAGGAGCACTCCGAGCGCATGGCCGCCCAGAACGTCGCAGTCGGGGCCGCCTGGCTCTGCGGGGTCGCCTCGCTCACCCTTGCGGCCGGTGCCTGGGCGCTGCGCCGCCGCGCGTCGAGGGTGACGCCCCAGGCGGCCGGCTACGAGGCGCTCGTCGATTGAGGGGAGTGGCCTCGGGGGAGCCACGGGCCAGCGCGAGCAGAGCGGCGGTGGCGGGGTCGCGTGGCCCTGGGCGGGCGACCACGAGTGAAGGGCAACTGGCAGAGCCTTCATCTCGGCGCCCGCCGTAGTTTGATCGATTGCAGTGTACACATATGCGAGCAGGCCAGAGCCCGTGTAGGGATGCTGGCGCGCCGTAGAGCTTATTTGCTCAGCAGATGCAGTCCGCCACGGTAGCGGATATATAGGATATTCATCAGTTGCAGCCTGTCGTACAGAACGCACAGAACCCCATCGTGCGATGCGCAATCGGACATGGGAGGTACGTGCGTCGGACGAGGAGGAGGAGGGTGAGAGAGAAGCAGAGCAGCACCGACGATCCGATGAAGTGCCAGAGCCTCGAGGAAAGCTCACCCTGCAGGCCCTCAAGGAAATCAAAAACGGACCAGGCGTTCGAGAACCGCCTTAGGGGCCCGATGGTCAGTGGGGCCCTGCAGGGGGACACATCACTGGCAAAAGCGACACCCCCCATCGAGAACACCTCGGTGGCTCGCCTATGTCCGCGGACGGCATGCATGCACCGTACCGCGTTGGCGCCTCTCGAGGCGTCGTCGATCCTCGACCCAGGAATGGTACGGTGCATAGTTTCCTGGCCCCCAGAGCCGAACAAGCTATGCACCGTACCGCGTGGGAGCGGGGCCTGAACGGAGTCCAGGCATGGTACGGTGCATGGGCGCCTTCTCGCAAGCATGCACCATGCCATGATGCCCGAGGAGGAGGAGGAGGAGGAGGAGGAGGAGGAGGTGGAGGAAAAGGAACAGGGACGAGGGAAGAGGAGGAGGAGGAGGAGGAGGAGGAGGAGGAGGAGGAGGAGGAGGAGGATCTCGGAGGGGGAGAAGAAGGAGGAGGAGGAGGAGGCCCTGGCCAGGGCCCACTCCCTCGCCGAACAGAGCCAGCGGCGAAGAGCTCGCACGGCGGGGGGCGGCCCAGACGTCCGGCGACCTCGAGGCTCGAGGGCCCCGCGAGGCGGCCCCCCCCGAGAGGTCGCGGCAGGTCGCAGCTGCAGCGGGGCCTCGGAGAGGGCCCCTCGGGAGCTCCGCGGCGCGGAGGGCTCGGCTGCCGCGGGGGGGCCGCAGCGCGCGCCCTGGGCGGCCGTCGGTGGAGGGGCACCTTGGCTGGCCGGTCCTGGTGGTCCTGGTGGTCGCAGTCGATCTCCCCCGTCCTCCACCTCCGCCATGGTTCAGGAGGGGAAACAACACACAGACACAATTAATCGTCCACTCCCTCGAAACTATGGGAAAATATGGGAAGTGGGGGCAAGACAACAAGTCAAACAAATATGGGAAAATATGGTGAATATTTTTGTTTGTGTGTATTGATTGGTGTGTGTTCTGGGGCCTCTTTAGTGGTTCCTGTGTATCCCCATGGCTGCAACTGTTCCCCATAGCGCTGCTGGTGGTGCTGCGGCTGTCTCAATTCGTGCTGCTGTTGCGCCTGCGGGCGCTCGTGGCCGTGGCAGGCCTGCTGGGTGGGCAGCGTGTGGTTGTGTTGTACGCTGTGCCCTTCATCATCTGGCCCATTGATCTGGATCATTCATCCTCTGGCCCATGACCTGCTGACCCCCTCCTTGCGCCTCCTCAGCCTCTGTCGGCCTCGCCTCCCCTCGCGCTGGCACTCTCGCCTGTCCCACAGCTGCGCCGTCTTGTGCCCCGCACCTCGCCGCTGACATCGTCGGCCTCCGCCTCCGTGCCTTGCCGCTGCCGCTCTGCCCTCGCGGGGTCCAGGGCGGCCTTCTCGTTGGTGATCACCATCTCGATCACACTCCACCTCCCTGCGGTCGAGCTCGCGCCTCTGGTGGCCGACTTCCAACAGGTCCGCCTCCAGCTCCGTCATCTTGGCCCCGTGGCCTCTGACCCTGTCTTGGATCGGGTCCGGCTCCGTCACGGCGTAGCGCAGCATGGCCACCTCTGCGATGATGTTGGCCCCTGTGGTGGGACGTCATGACCCCGTCCAGGTGCTGGAGCCTCTGCTCAAGCTCGTGCCTCTGGGAGCGCAGCACGGCCGCAGCGGCTTCGGGCGGCACGTAGTCCGCGTGGGCTTGGGCCACCTCCGGCGCCGTCATCGAGACTGCCTTGACCGCCGTCAGCTCTGGCTTGCGGCGTGGCTGGCTCTGACCTCGCCGCTGCTCCCGTGGCTGGTGCCGCGGCTCCTTCCTCCTGGCAGGTTCACGGTGCGTCTGTCGCTGCGGCTGGCGCTGCTCTCTCCACGGAGCATCATGGTGCCAGCGTCGTCCCTCTGACCTTTGCCTCGCTGGGTGCTGCCCACGTCCGCTCATCTCCTCCGCCGCTCACTGCGCGGAGTGCCGGAGGCCCAGAGGTTGACACCAACACCAATCTCGGCGATGTGCCTCCACCGAGGAAAGATGATCCCGATCTCGGTGATGGTGGCAATATTCGGGCTTCCAAGGTGGCCGAAATATTTCCACCAACACCAAAATCTAGGATCACCCTCCCCTGGTAGAGGCATCCCTCGGCATTGGTGTTGGTGCCCATTTCTAAGCCCCCAAGAGTGGTGCCTCTCGAGCAGCTGTTGCGCCGCTGCCCCTCGCAGGGGTGTGCCCGCCTGGCCTCCTCTGGCCCGTCCGCGCCCGTGCCACCCCACAGCTCCGCCGTGGCAGGCTGCCCGCGGCGCCCGTTGCGCCCGCGCGCAGCGCTTGGCATCGCTCGGCCGTGTGCATTTTTTTTGTTCCTCGGCGACGGCCATCGAGGACCCTCCTTGATCATCTGGCGGAAAAAAAACACGCACGACATCGAAACAAAATACACGAGGAAGGGACGGTCCGAGC